TATTCTGCACTTACAATGGTACCAGTTTTGCTATAAATGCGTATGAAAGTGCATTATGTCACATTAATAGAACATTTATGTTTTGGCATGGTGTAAACAAATGTATACATATTTTAGTATATATTTTTAATTGACATTTACAAAATAAAAATATCGAGCAACATACCGACCAATCAGCTGACACATATGCAAGCAAAAATAAATTTATTCTGAATTCTTGACAAAACATTTCATTAATATAACATTCGTAGGTATTTGTAATACTTACTAAATTAAATTGAAGAAAATTTATTTTAATAAATTACTATATTTATATTGCACTTTAATATTAACCATTATGACCAAACAGAAACGATTGTAACGAGATAATAATGTATCTATAACATTATACAATCACCTGATAAGTTAGAGCTCTAGGTTCACTTCAGTTTGATAGCACACATCTAGATACGATAATTTGAACAAGAACAGAAAATAATTATAAATAAACCGTTTTACATACAAATATGAATTGACTTATTGATTTAAGTATGTATGTCACATAGTTCCAAATGTAACTCATCCTTTTATACTAGACTTAACACACATTAACAATGCTTAATCTATACCGACAATCGACATGCATATAAATTAAAAGCAAACAACAAATGGCAAACTAAATAAGTTAATAAAATAACCAAAATCAAGCGAAAACATACACACGAAAAACAATACCAATCCTATAATTACCTATTGACATACATTACGTTTCTGAATAAATACGACTGTCATTGCGGAAAGATATTATAATTTAAAACCAGTTTTGCAAGTCAACCTGTGAACATTACGAAAAATAGTAACAGCTGTAAAGTGACTACTGCTGCATATAAGATAATCCGTGTCGGGCAGTAGGTAGGTAGGTACAGCAGCTCCTAGTGACCAATGTTTAACTACTAGTTCCTACAGAAGACGCTTCAAGCAAAGTCGTAGTTACACTAAATGTTTCGGAAATCGTTTGTGTCATAAAACAATTGTATTCTCATTAGTATTCTACTAGGCTACTAAATCGAGAGTTGATTAATTTTAAAATCATATTAGGATACCATTGACGCTTTACTCTACCCTTTTTTTCTTTTCCTCTTTTTTTCTTACCCTTTTCATTTTATAACTCCATTACTGAATGCTCAAATAGAGAGATTTATATTTTAATATTAGTATACGAATATTTATATTTATAAATATGGGAATATTTATAAAAAAGTTATGAGTTAAGTTACGAGTTTTATGTTGACATGAGTATGGAAAAGAAAAAAAAAATACAATAGGAATCCTCCTTCTCGATTGCGAGTCAGGTATATAGTTTACGTTTACATTAAGTTTTGTAGCATTATCCATACATTTATTGTCAAACCCGGTACCGCCGGTAGCTTTTTACATCGCGGCAGCGGAGAGAATTCTGTTAGACATTGTAGCTAGAAATGTAATGATGACATTACGTTGACTGTGTGATAATAATCCGTTCATTAAATTATGATTGAACCAGATTATACATACGTTTTAGACCTCAAATACCTTTAGGTTATGTAGTAGGTCTTTTTAGTAAAAACATTTTTTTTTAGATACATACGTTGTGAAAAGTTTTATGCCATAGAAAATCACGCTACAACCGACAGAAGTACAGCAGTGACCACTCACGTCGCTTGGCACAACCTGTGGTAAGTACGGATGTTCTTCTTTATTCCCAACTGTGTAAGACATGCATAACAATACTTTTCGTGAAAAACATTCGTAAACACACGTGCAACAGCACAAGAGTGTAAATAGATGTAATTTATCATATTATTTTTATACATTAAATGAGGCAAGTTTAAACTTTCAGTAATTAGCTACTTTTATTTAGGCGCTAGTGCACTACCTTAACACGGCAAGCTGTTGTATAATATGTATATAATATATTGTATACTACGCCATATTTTGTTTCTATTCTTGAAGTAGTTTGATTTGACAACTTGATTATAAATTATAGTATCGTTTTCGCAACAGGTTCAATTATTTGATGACATACCCAAAATTTAGGTGAAGATAATATTAAAAAAAAAACAAAAGCATTTCATATAATAGATAGTACATTTAAAAATATATGCATGAAGAATAAAACAGTTCGTTTTCGCAATGAATAAAATTATAAGTTCTTTTGTACTTTATGGTTTGGGGTAACAATAGCTACAATTTTATTTAACTACTTATTATTCATACATTGGTAAGGCTTTACAACATTTTATTAGCCTTGAAGACTTGATAATATTGAGAGGGTTGAATGTGTATTTTGTAAATTCGCAAACATTTAATCTAATCTGTGCATATTAAAGAATTGTAGCACAATTATAAACATTAATGATATTATTAGCAATGAATTCATATACCGGATGCCATGTCATTTCAATTAGATATATAATGCAGTCTTGCAATTTGTACATCCATCCCTCCAAGTCCTGTACATCTTATATACAGTCACTATTGCATCAATGCTATAGCCATTCATTAAACAATCCCACATTGCTTAGTAACAAAAATATTCTAACTATTTATTTCGTCAAAAATAGACATCTGTCTACAATTTTCATATCCGCATCCATCTGAGGAAACATACACAATAAATTTATAATAATCAACATGATAACAATCAATAGATTTCTTTCTATTTTCACTATACAATGTACGAAGTTTCAGCAGTCAGTTGTTAAATAATAACTTTATATTATTAGTGTACAAAAGCACAGTACATTTATATTTCTATTATTATTATATTTATATGTATAAGACTGTATTTTCATAAGTTAGCCATTACTTTCATTTTTGTATAATAATATGTATATTAAAACAATGTGTAGGCAAAATTTTCTAAAATGTGAGTACTGCTTTTGTTAATAACAAGGCCTTGTAAATGTCTAAAACATGATAAAATATTAAATACTACACTACCACATTTGACTAACTTATTTATATCCAGCAAATATTTGTAAATACAGGGTGTGAGGGACGTCGTAACGAATACTGAAATAGTGTATTCAGACCATCATTCTGAGTCAACAATCATTTTCTGGCAGAAAATTTTCAACTTTTTTTCTATTTTCCATTGTTCATCATTCTTTGGTAAAAAATTATATCACAATGAGTAAACAGAACATTTTACCCAAAATAATTTAATAAATATCGCATACGGTCGAAAACTGCAATGTCGAAATGACGTCATCTTGTGTTAGTGCGCGTAGACTTTTTGCACGGAATACAAATATAGTTATTACTTTTGTGCGATGCCTACGGTGAATGACCTTTGACAGCTGATTGCATAAAACTTTTAATTTTCCGGCAGATAATTCCAATGATTTTAGACTCAGAATAATGGTCTGAATACACTATTTCAGTATTCGTTACGACGTCTCATACACCCTGTATATTGTGTATATAAGGATACATTGATGTTGCATGTCCATTATACACAATTTAATTAAAGGGGGATAACAGCTTATTGCTTAGAATTGGTAACTTGAAATTTAATTTCTTTCACATGTACTATTTTATATTTATTATAATACAAATTTACTAGAAGGGCTACAGTTTGTAAGTGATTTTAACAATACATATTATAATAATATTATGTCGTATAAGTAGAAGCTGTTCCAGATTATGAATTTATATCCACACATTAAATCATTAGTCATTACTATTTAGATTTAAAAAACACTCAACTTTGTTAAATTTGTTAGTACCAGTAGAGGGATGTTATAGTTACATAATATTATATATAGTATTCTTCTAATAAAGAAAAATATAAATAAGGAACACCAATGATTCAATAAATAGGTAATTTTAGTATTTGTATTCTTTTGTTTTGTTACACTTGCATCAAATTTTGTATCTGGAGCTATTTGTATCCGTAGTGGACTAACTAAAAATTAAAGGTTTTTCAATAGTTTTCACTGCATGATTTTGATTAGTGTTGTGCAAATGCGATAGTCAATTGATAGTATCTTGATACTATTGTGGCCTTGAAAATCAGTCTTGCCATGTCGATAGTCCTATCGAACTATCGACTTCCGTAAAACTACGATATTGAAAAATACTATCGTAAGAGATCGATAGTATCGATACTTTTAAACTATCGATAAATACTATATAAAGGGTTTGGGATAATGTCTTCTACATTACCTCAATAACATCGGAATTCATAAATAATCATAGGCAATATTGATGTTATTGATCCGATTGTATGTATACAGTCAACTCTTTCCAGACTATCAAAGATAATTTACTAGGTTTATAGGTTGTTATATTTCTAGTATCGACGCGATTGAAAATGCTGATACTTTCAATGGAATTATCGATAAGTTACAATTCAAGGTCAACTATCAAAAACTATTGCTATTGCAACAACATTGGGTTGGAACTGAATCATGAACATTTCATAATCTGAATATAGCGTAAGCGATATAATAATTATGTATCATTATTAGTGGCGAAAAATAATAAAAATGTGTAACAACCATGGTCATCCCAATTATTTGTAACTGTAAACTACAAACTATTATTTTCTGCCTTTATGATGAGAATTATTGACAAGCTAATTGGTAATTGAGAATTAATCAAACTATGCCCCTTTATCTTTTAATGAAAGGTTTAGAGCAATTTTAAAATAACATTATTTCTAAGTGATAAACAAAAATCAACAATAGTTATTTTATAATCCATATAAATTTTACAAAACTGATAATCATAATATTGTATGGAGCAATGATATATTTTTCTAATTGTTTTTTTAAAGACGATTATATAGAAAATCAACTATAACACAACTCACTCCACAATAAATAAATAACATCAGTAGCAAACTATGAATGTAATTTTTCTCTTTACCAACAAAACAACCCTTTTAGTAATGTATACTTTAAAAACAAATGATAGTAATCTAATTGTTGCTACAATCACAGAAATTATTGTGAGCTTGTCAATCAGATATAGGATCAAACAGAGTGACCTTGGGATTGATGTCTTTGTCCCCACTGACTAGATGGTCCCTGTGCAGAATTACCTTGTTGCATCCAAGACAGGAAGTTGGGCGGCGCTGGCGGTGCAGATGAACCTGGACCTGCAAATGCCCCTTGCTCAGAACCACCGGACGGTATATTGTTGATGAGACCCCAGCCAGCTGCTTGATTCAAAGCTGCTGCTACCAAGGCTTGATTGACTGGTAATCCTCCCATCCCCAGGGGCATACTACCACCTTGAGCTTGACCACCTCCACCAGCCACTGCAGTTTGACCATGTTGACCTGATATGCTCAATGCTTGCATATTCACCATATCAATATTGCGACTGCTCCATGAGTTATTATTAGAAGCATTATGAGGATGTCCTTCTTCATAATTCCGGCCAGGTAAATTGCGCTGATTAGATCCACTCTTGTTTTGTTTAGGTGAGGCATTAGAAACATTCACAGACACTCCTTTAATTATATGATCTTGACCACATAGACTTTGTGCAACTTCAGGATCTAAAAATGTTATGAAGCTAAAAGCCCTAAAGGGTTTTGGGATAAACACATCTGTCACTTCCCCAAATTGAGAAAAGTATTCTCTCAAGTCATTAGCTGATAATTCTTCTGTACAGCGACCAACAAATACTTTACAAGGCATTGAGGCAACAGACCCTTCCTTTGAGTTAGGTATCCGAACATCACACCATCTTCCATCAATCATATGCCGTTGAGCTAGCACCCTCATCTGGGAAGTGTAAGAGGCAAATCTAATAAAAGCAAAACCTTTGGACATTCCAGTTTTCGGGTCTCTTTTCAATTGTGCCATCAAAACTTCCCCAAACTTCTCAAAGTATTCCCGCACTGTTTGCTCTGTTGCTTTCCATGGTAAACCCAGCACTATCAAATCAGAGCAAAGATTATCATTTCGCTTACTCTTCGAAGCAGATGCTTCAGAATTTTCACCTGATTTACGTTTAGTTTCTTTTGGAAAGCTACAAATATACAAATGATTACCCCATCCTTCGGGAGGCGGATACAATCTGCCATCTCTTAATCTGATACCTCTGATGTTTTTTGTTTCTGGATGACGATATTTCAGACCACAGCAGCCAGGAAATTGCGCAGACACGGTTGTTAACATCAAAGTTCCATCATCTTCGATTGGTAATTCTATGGGTTCTTCATTTTCATCTTCAGCCACGGGCAAGTACTCGAAGGACATTATTTCTTAATCATGAACAATATTAATAAAACTGATAAAAATAAACAGATTTTACACTTATCACTATACAAATGTACAATATCTAAGTCATATAAATAAATAAAATTAATTAACGTCACCTACGGGTTATAAACCCATTGCAATTTGCAGGTTGAAAACATAGTTTGATAAAAGAGTTTTGATCTATTACACACCAGAAATCGAAGAATATTTTGTAGAATTACAAGTGTCAAATATTGGTGATCAAGCTATAGCAATAGACAACTTTCTAAAATTGACGTTTTACATCACTCTTGCAGTTGCCATTTTAATAGAGATTATTGTTATCACTGGCAATATTTGTATGGCAAAAAATCCAACACCTACATATGTCAGCGCCTTAGCGCACTCTAATCAGAAGGATCCGCACTTTTATTACGAGAATTGGCCTTCAGTTTTAAAGTTAAATATAAATAATAAGCAGACTTTCACGTTGGAGCCATCATTGAACGTAGGGTAACATTTACAGCTACTTTCTATTTGAATCTACATCGATAAACGGCATTATGTTTGAATTAATTAAAATAGCTATCAAAATACCTACTTTTGTAACAGATTTAATTGTTTAGTGTGCGATGGACGGGGCAATCAAAGTGAAAAAAAAAAGTTAATAGGTCAACACTGACAACGGTCTACCATGGACTAGTTTTATCAATGTTTCGGTATGGTAAATAATGGTAATACGTTGAGGTGTAACTGCACTGCACTGCACTAACTGGCATTCACAGCTCAGACACAGTGCATTAGGACGATGTTGCATACTAGAATACTTCACTATTGAAATCCTATTATCAATAATAGGATATTAACACTACCTTGCTCGTAAATGGAACAAGGTACACAAATATGAAATTATTTTAAAAACAATCAAGGGCTCGTCAAGTGAGCATGTTTTGTGTAGTGATTATTGAAACGGCCTTTATGGCAATGACAGTATAACAAGCTACCATATTCTATGAAATATTCAAAAATCCATGTTTTTAAATTGAGATTTTTATTACATCGCCTCAAAATGTTCGTCCATCTTTCGCCTGTCAGTGCTCAACATGTGCTCAGGTTTTACATGCGTCTATCGTCTGAATGATTGTATTTATGATGTATTCCATACTCTAATACGCAGATTGAAATAAAAATTTATAGTTGAAAATCTTGCCTACTATTGATTTACTATTATCATTCCTCTTTTCCAATTATTAAGTTAAGATTAAAAACGCGATTTTAATACCCTAATATTTTCAGAAATTTTTTATTTGAATGCCTACGATCCAAACAAAAGTTTCACTTGCATCGTGGTTTCATAAAACCACACCACACTTTTTTAAAAATCGTCTTTAGGAAATGCTAATAGCTTAAAGCAGTTACTCTTTTAGAGATTGCCGAGTTGAAAAAATATAAAAAGAGCCCTATAGGTAAACATTTACCATTTACTATAAATGACATTTATTTGCTATTATGATGAGACTAGTACCTAGGTATATTTTAATATGGCAAAATATAAGGTCCATGTATCATCTTTGTGTAATGAAAAAAGTAAATAATACAGCATTGTCTTTTACTAACAACATAGTTTTGCTGGATTTCGTACAAAACATTGCTATAATTAGAGGGAAAAAAACACAATTTGTGTACATAAAAGAAATATGACGACAATCGACAACGATCTCAAGAAGCTAATAAAAATGTAGAATGATTTACATTGTGGAGGAACGGATGTCATGTCAATTCTCCATATCGCGAAACAGGATTAGCAATTCACATTCAGGAGTTACTTCGTAGTTCGGTGTGGCTTCGTTAGACGCCACTGTAGTATGTTTTTTAGCATGTTTAAAACTAAAATAAGTCAAACAAAAAAGGATACTCTATAAATAAATCAAATAAAGGATATTGCCGATGACGACTGATAAAACTGCACAAACTGAATCAATTGTGGATCGTGTGGTTTCAAGTAGCTTTTTAATTAGGCCAACAAATAGACGGGTCGCCTGATAGTAAGTGATTATCACCGATCATGAACATGCGTATCACAGAGTACACTCTTCTCTTCAATTTTGTGATTTAGAATCGGTCTTGGAATATCGCCGCTGATAATTTGTTCCACTGTTTGGTCGTGTGAAGCTACAAAATCTTTTTATAAAAAGCCCACAGTGGTGGAGTAATCAAATTGGTTCAAAATCAAATGCGTACCGTATATAGCTAATTTTAAACTTTTAAAAGGGGCTTTAATTTTATTTTTTCTTACCTATATGATTGTGGTAATCAACGGATAGAACTGCCAGTAAGATGAGTACATGCGAGTATTTTTTCTAATTTTAGAAATTGGTAACGAAAAGCCTTAGTTTCAATTTAATAGAAGAAACTGGTGGAACTTTGTGATCTATGGGATTATGAATCAAGTAACAGGGTTGACTGTTTGAAAATTAAAATAAATAAATGCAGAAATTTGTCGAAAACTAGCGAATGAAAAGGCTTGTTCCTATAAAATCCTTACTAAATTTTCAACTTATACATTATATTGTAGTGATTTTGTTAATAAAGTGTTTTGTAGTTATCATATTGTGGAAATAATATTTCAACTTAAGATAACCTAAATGTGTTAAACAGTTTATTTGATATGATATAGTTTTACGGAATCCATCTACTATGTTATTATGTTTGTTGTTTGATGTATCAAAATAAGACTGCTATGGATGATGACTCTAAGGAGTATAGAAGATATAAACCTCAACAAAGGTTGTATAAACCTGGTAGTGGTCCTCTAAGACGATCGAGTTATGGTTTGGATTCTAAAATGGATTCAAATGAATTAGACAGCTCTTCAAAGGGTCGACATCAAAATTATTATGGCTCTCAGAATTCGGTTGCTGATGATGTAAATGATTCATACAGAGGACCAAATATGCGCCATAAAAAGCCAGAACAACAGCTATATGTGCCTAGATCGGGAGATACGTGTTCTGATTATGATAGACAATCTAAAGTACCAATGAGGTGTGATAATTCTAGTCAGTACATCAATAGAAGAATGCCTGATAATCCAGACAGATTGACTTACAATAGTGGTACAGGGTCTTATTCTAGAGGTGCCTCTAGGAAAGATAGGTCTTTTTCAGATTATCATCATAAAGACAGTGCAAGCAATGATATTAATTTTAATAGGCAATACAGACAAACATCTGAAACAAGGTCCATTTCACCTGCTCATATACATGATAAAAAGTCTGTTGATCGTAATAGAGACAGTAGAAGTATGGAAACAGGAGGAAGACATAATATGTCATCCACAGGTGGGAAGCCACCATCTGGTCGCCGTAATTCTTCAGGATATACATCTGACTCCTCAAGACCAAAGCATATGATAAATATAGACAACATACCACCGCGATTTAGAAAGAAATTTCTAGAACAATCTGCTCATCATAGTTTTGATAGTGTTGATCAACTACGCAGAGAAAAATATTCATCCAATAACTCAGTACAGCCAACCCAAAACCAGGATTCTTATTATAATTCTGCTCAATCCTGGTCCCAAACATTGCCATCAAGAGGTAGAGGTCGTTTAAGAGATAGTGAGGGGTTTGATAGAGAAAAGTTTATTAGTACATATTTGAAGAATTATGAAATGGAAAATTCCAGAAAGTCTACTCCTAGTGGCTCTTATTTGAATTTATATGATACAAATTCCACTGATAAACATACAAGTGAGAGCATTAATACTGGTCCAAGTAGTACTGAAAGTCAGGAATTTTATGATGGTAAGTAAACTGGTAAATGGTAAATACCTAAAGTGGAATATCTTAAGTGGATATATATAATTTAGTTGGCAATGTAAACTTCAAAATTCCAACTGTTATTTGGTTGACAAACATTAAATCAAACAAAATCTAAGCAACCATAGTAAATGAATAATGATAATAGTAATTGAACACATCTTACACACAGCTATATATTATGGTCCCAAACCTTTGCACATACTGTGAACTGACCAAACCTAACTTAACCAGACTTGTAAACATGCATACTAATATTATAAATGTGAAAGTGTGTCTGGTTGTTAACTCTACACACTTGAAGCGGGTGAAAAGTGGGGCGTAAGTTTGTTGTATGGGGAATCATGAATTGCTGAACAAATTTTGGTGAAATTTGGTATGCAGATACTTTGATTCTTGAGGAAAGACATACTACTTTTTACCGCAGTAACTGACATTTTAGCAAAAGCTAGTGCTTATATATTTCTAAATACATGCATACTCTACAATATTAAACTCAGCCAGAACAAATGATCATCTTCATCACACAATTACTTATCCTCGGAGGGACCTCTCCTTTAGTAGTCAGGATCACTAAGATCCAGACCAATAGTTATGTGATTGCTAATTTTCTAATTGCCATGCTTCTGCACAAATGGGCCGGCACCACCAAAATGATATCAGAGTCTCACAGAAAACTAGAGTAAGCAGTTCTTTAATTGGTTTTTACTGAGTTACTGGACTACTTTTTTACGGAGCCCAAATAAAACACGAACACGTCGCTCGCCGCTTTCTACTGTGCTGAGTGTTGTAGGTTCGATCCCCCACATGGGGGAAAAACTGTGTGATCCACAAATTTTTGTTCTGAGTCTGAGTGTCCTCTGTATCATTTTATGTATATTTGTAAATTTCGCAGGACACAGAATATATTCCTACTGCGAAAGTTGTCCTAGTGAAAAAAAAAAGTAGAATTGTACAGTCGAGTTGCAAATAATTGGTAAAGTCGGCAAATAACACCGACATTCCTGCTCAATAGTTTTTTGAAAAAATAAAAATATCTTCATGACATTTACAAACAAAAAACAAAATTAGTATGTTAATTAACAAATATTATTATAATAACATTATATCTTCTAATCTTTACTAAACATTGATCAATATTGCTTCTTGTTTAAATAAAAGAACAGGTTTTCTTAAACAGACTAAGTAATATTAAAGCAAGAATCCATATACATGATGTACTGTAAATATAAAATAGCATTTATGAACATTCTTCATCAATGCCTCATCAAAACAAAAACTTCTAGTACTTATATAATTTATAACCAAATTTAATGAAATCTTTGTGATAAACAAAAATGTTTTTACTGTTTTTAACCTAAATTAGTTAATTCAGGGTAAATTGTGATGTAAAAAGAGTAAACCTTATGCTCTTTTTTGGCAAAAATCAACTACTTTGAACATCAAGGGTACCCTTTGATGCGATGTGCGACATTTCAGGATAGCTAAAACTGTTGATAGCATTCCCAAAAAATCCGTTGTTGTTGATTCTGTCTTCTCTTTATCGATGGAGGTACTATTTTGATCAGTATTACAACTGTTGGTCTCATCATGCTATTATCTGTTGAAAATTGTTATATCTGTCTCGAAAAATTGTTGTCTTGGATCCAACAATAACAACTTTAAATCATTTTTCAGCAGGACTTTAATTTCCACAATTTCTTTGTTATTATAAGTGTTTTCTAAATATTTCTGTAAGGTTTTCAGATGAGGTATAACTTTATACAAAGAAGAGCAACTTGCAATAAGTTCAAAATTTATAAAATTTTAAATCCTTCATATGGCTTAAGCTATTTAATGATTTTTCTAGAGTTTGCCAGGATTGATAAGACAAGTTTTCCTCATTTGCTTTCATCTCGTAATGGCCAAATAATTCTCGCTGTTATAGCCAAAAAATCTAATATTTTAAAAGATCGATTAGTCGTATCGATAGTTGGTTTTTGTAAAGATACACTGACACCATTGACTTGATCCAGTATAGTAGCCAAAAATATTGCTATTTTTAGTACTAAACCTTTGCTCCATTGCTGGAACCAAACTCCAACCAAATTCAGTGCGTGTGCTATACATAGAATGTAGAGTGCAAGATTATTTATATTCTTAATATGGGTAGACATATTTGACGCATTATCGTAAGTCAGTTACATCACTGTCATCAGTAGTAATCAGTTACATTGATTTAAGAAATTTAAACTTGTAAGTTCTTCCCTTTGTAACTTACAATAGGAGTAATTGTAAGAAAACGTTCTGCTACTTCTTGACGTTACGTATCTCAGCACTACAGTCAACTGATTAGTATGAGATAGGTTTGGTGTCGAATTGATGCTTATCGAGAAATATTTGTCCTTAATAATTATGTTACCAATTAAATTTAAAACTAAGGTTTTAATATTCTTCATAATACTTCAGTAAGTTCCTTGCAAATCGTTGACGACAAATGTGGTTGTATTCCTTTCCCAACATTATCCTAATGTTCGGCTAAATGCGAACTAAGAAACTAATCATACTTACTCATTCGATCAGAGTTTTTCAGTCTTACATCAGAGTAATTCTAAAATTCCCCAATAGTTGCCATTATGTGGAGAACCAAATCACAATTACAGATCAAGCATTTAAAAAATTTTGTTTTTTACAATACATAAAACATCCATAATATTAGTTCTCGATACTAGGTGGTTCTGCACTGTAATTATGATGTTTTTCATCACTAATAATACCTATTGTGGAGGATACACATTTTTCAATTAAATTTTCACTGAATGAAACATTTTCAATTTCTTATGAGTTCGCGAGGGCCCCCTAGCCGATGCGGGGCCCCTAGGCAGTTGTCTACTTTGCCTAGGGGTTAATCTGGCCCTGCTGCCTCGGTGGTGCAGTGGTAATGTATGCGGTAACGTCTCGGGTTCGATTCTTGGGTCGAACCAAATGCTTGTATGAACTGCAAATATTTGTTTCGGAGTTTGGGTATTTTCTATATAAAATATGCATGTATTGTCAAAAAAATAAAGTATACAAGTATTCTATCAGTCAATCTAACTTTCATAGTACAAGCTCTGCTTAGTTTAAAACTATATAGCTGTGTGTCAGATGTAAAAAATATTTATTTATTTTACTTGCCTTGCCGTCAGTACTATCAAATCACAAATTTTAAAACTGAAATGTCCGAGCTTTTATTCTTCAATTCATACATTTTTAAATGTTTGTGTTTAAAATTTTTGTTTCTGTTTGATTTAAAAAGAAATACTGCAGTCTACTACAGTTTTTTTTATAAATGACAAAATAATTGACACCATAGAATGGACAATAATTGTACTAGTTAATTATAGTAATATTTATGATGTTTCTCTGTTGATAGTGTCTCAAAATGGTATGAGCAGCGTAATGAATACAGAATCTAGCAGCCAGTTGGAGCAATGTAAACAAGAAACAGATAATGAACATGACAGTGAAACAACATCTCAAATATCAACAACTCTATTGGATATTTCTAATTTGGTATATATTAATATTATTAGTAATTTTGTCTATTCTGGGCTGGAGTTAGCTGTTCTAGGCAAAAATAGTACTCTTTCTCATACAAGAAACAAAAATTTCTGAAATTCTAAAAAGCTTTGCTGGAATTTAGTACTTGACTAGGATCCAATTACTTCTATACTAACAGAATCTAAGACCATAAAAAAATATGAATACTGTTAAACTCTCGCATTTCAAAGAATATTGTTAGAAATTCATGAAAACAAATAATATATAAGAACAGACAGACAAGATTTACTTTTATATTTGTGTAAAAAATCTAGATGCCTATAATAATAGTAAGTAAGTAGTAAGTAAGTAAAAAAGTGCAGTAAGAAGTACAACCCAGACAATGTAATTTTCAAAATGTTGTAGGATTGGACCGAGGAAGTTGAAAAAAATAGTAAATTAGATGACATTGGCGATTCTTCTACTAGTTTCTCCCATCCTTTGAAACCTGTTGTTCAAGAGGAGATAAAATCTGCTGACTCTCGTGAATCAAAAAGAAGTGGGAGATCTCGACGTAAGGATCGGAGGTAAAACATTTACTTATTTAATGTATTAGGTCTTTACCCATGAAGTTGGAGATTTGTATGAAAATTTTAAAATATAATTTTTTTAACTAAAAAGTATTGCCATTGCCATTTTGATGGCGGTTTTTTTATCCCTTTACTATAGAAGTCTGCTGGACGAGAGGCAATGAAGTGAGCCAAAGCGTTTTGTACAGCCTCTCGGGAGTTGAGTTTTTCCCCACTTAAAAAATTATCTAAATTTTGAAAAAAAGTAGAAATCTGTTGAGGCAAAGTCCGGTGAGTACGGTGGGTGACAGAGAGCTTCCAGCTGTAACTCTTTTAGCTTTACAATGGTCTGTCGTGAAGTGTCAGCTTGCACGTTATGGTGGAGAAGCCATGGAGAAGATCGATTGCCCAGATGTGGTTGTTGAATTGCAAGCCTCTCCATCATTGTTTGCAATTCTTGGCAATAGACATCTGCGTCAAAGTTGTGCCAGTCGCTAAGAAGGTGTGATGTACAAGTCCGGCACTGATCCACGAGACAGTCACTATCATCTTCCTACGGGGTAATCTTGTTTTTAGCACACTGATTAGGTACTGTACCCTGGTCTCCACTCACTGGGACGAACGCTTACGGTTGTCGTTCAGGATCCACTTTTTATCGCAGGTAACAATTCGATTCTGAATTACCTCGTTTCTATGCTGATTCAGTAGTGCTATGCATGCTTAAAGTGTGGCTGATGGTTGCTTAGTTCGTGTGTCATCCACTTATCTAGGTTTTTATCTTGCCGATTTGACCCAAGTGCTTCATTGTTGTTTTGATACTAATTCCAATTCGTCGTTGTCGACTATAGTGACCGGTCGACCGCGAGCCTCGTTCTATAACGCAAAATTTCCAAATCTAAAATGATTGAACCAATTATGGATCGTGTTTATGCAAGTAGTGATAGGCCCTTACACGTCGTTAATGAATTATCAGTTTTTCCATGGCGCCAAAAATGACCACAATTTCACACAGACAAAACACTATCTAAAGCAAATGACTGAATTTTAAATTAAAGTAACATGCCAATCCACAGATAATTAAATTTCAAAATGCTGGTTTTAAAAATCTCTGACTTCATAGGTAAAGTCATTGAGTTAAAACAACACTAGAGAAGCAAACCTCATTATCACACGTCGAAAAAAGTGTAACCACTTTTGAACTTTGATGACGTAGCTTTGATACCACTAAACATTTGACAGTAAACATATTTATGTCTCATTTACACGCGAGACAAGAACAATACCATCGCTCGGATTAGACAAAGACAAAGACATAACTTTACGATGGTGGGCCAGTGTTGACTACCGTATGAAATTTTACCCATAACAACCAAGAATCCATTTTTTTTTTAAACAATTTTTGTAATAAAATAAATTAATTTAAATATTTTAAATAATATATTTCGAAACGAAAGGTATAAATAATAAAATAACTAGAAATATTTGGTTAAAAGGGTTTATATTCAGTGTAAAATCAAACTCCGCTATGAAGCATCAGTTTTGTATACAATTGTCTTTTAGACTCTTTTTTATAAGTTTGTGTGAATATTTTGCTTTCATGATACGATCTTATTTTTACCTATGTATAAATAATGGCATTTAATAGTGAAAGTGAATGATCAACTTGTACTGATAATAAATAATCCCCAGGGTGTATTGCAAATTCTTTTAATATTTTAAAATACAAATAAAAAAAAAAAAAAAAATATATATATATTTTTTGCTTTTTATATTTATATTTATTTACTTTTTTATTTTATATATTTATATTTTTTTGTACAATTGTTATTTATATCTATAATTAATTAAGAAAAATGAATGAATGAATTCTTTTATACAAAAGTCTCGTGCACTGCGAGCTTGGCAGAAGGTGAACGTTCAACGAGTCCCTAAAAAAAGTGATCGATTCAGCCCTAACAACTACCGTTCTTCCTATATTTTATTATTATTGACAAAATGTTTAAAAACAGTATAAAGCATATTATTTCATAAATTATAAATTCTCCCACTAATGTGGGAAAACAAAAATGATTTTTTAATGGTAACACTGATTTTATATTACAATTATCAATGTTTTATTTCAATTATAGCCTTATTTACGATATTATCAATACAAAAACCATAAACTTACACGTGATAAGTAATTCCGCATGATTTATTATGGTTTTATGACCTTGAATCGCATTCTTTCACTACGCATTTACCCATTTTGGCGATTGTTACTGTCATGTGTCGCTATGTTCAACTCGGTTGACGCCACGTTGAACACTGAATTGACGTTTGCTACGCATATGCCTGTGGACAGATGTGCAGTAGCAACGATTTTAGGCGGTAATTACTCATCTATTTAAGTATTATATCAATGGGTAAAGTCCTATTATTTTACAAAGTATAAATTACGGATACTACTACTAATTAATTACCTGTGACAGCAAAGTAGGTTTCCTCCTAGTTAGTTTTTAGTACCCAATATGAATTTTTGAGACCTTCAAACGGCTAGCCATCGTTGATAATTCTTCTCCCAGTTCGCAATAAGAGCAAGATTTTTTTGCTTTTTTTATATATAAACATAACTCCCGCACTAGGAATATATCCTGTGTCACGGGGCACTTTACAAACATTCATGAAACGGACACAAAGAATAACCAGACTAAGAACAATAATTTGTGGATCACACAAATTAAGTGATGTCCCATGTGGGGATAGAACCCACAACTTTCACTCAGCACAGTAGGAAGCGGCGAGATGACATCTTAAACCACTACGCCATCCATGCAGTCAAATATGCTATATTTCCGCTGATAGTTTACTATTACACCCTCCGAAGATTGCATGGTGTAACATATGAGTTCCATGATATGTATTGGGCTACACACTTATTTTTAGTAAGTAGATAACTTAATAAATTAAAATCGAAACAGGTACCCACGGGGGAGACAAAAGAAACGTAGGGAGATAAGAAAGGGGTTGTAGCGGAAACTAAAAAACGAAGTTTAGCCCCTAGTACTAACTTGTATTAGCACTAAATGAGTTTAATATTGCATAATTATCATTGTTGCAGAAGTTCCAGTAGAGGAGTAAAAAACGCAGAAAAGAAATCCGATCGCAATAGAAAGGATAGTACAGCAAGTATTCACTACGAACCAGATAGAACTAGGAAAGATAGCAATGTTAGCATACAACATGAAATGTATTCCTCTGGCTTAAAACACAGAGAGCGTGAAAGACGGGACAGTCATAGGAGCAACCGTTCGTCTACAATAGGCAATAGTCGAGACGATTTAGATAGATGGAGATCTTTACGATCTTACAGTCGAGAGCAGAGTTCTGAAGGGTAAGTAAATAATGTATAAAACTGTCTAGCATGTACGTCTGTTGTAAAGGAGTAGAATTAATATAAAATTGCTCTTTACAGAAGAATCGTCTCACAATGTAACAGCCGAGACGCGTCAGGAAATCGTGCGACTAGTCCTAGAGACAATGATGGTTTTAGAATACCATCAGCTGCATCTAAATCTGCAGCTTGGATAACAACAAATCAGGTAATTATATTCAATAAAATGTGTAGTTTGAATTCCTAGGATTCTAAGATATAATGTATCACTGAATCAGGTTTATAATTAACCTTTAACATACGTAATATGTTCATTACACTTTTATGTACGTTGGGATCCTGCATTTAATATTAAAAAATATAACGTGTGATTTTGATGACTCGTTAAATCCTAAGAAAAGGGCCTCCGGAACCCTTCGTCTAAAGTAATTGTCCATTCTACTTTCATTTATATCATTATCTCACAGCATTTTTAATAATGTAAAACAAAACATTCAGTTCACCAACAGTAATTAATTGAAATTACGTTTTCAACCTGTTGTTTTGTAGATTATTTTCTGAAAAATTACCATTATTACAGAAGAAAAACAATGGATCGTGGGCAAACGGTCGTTCCTCAAGTATAGAGCGGGGCCGTCAGTCTCCCTCAGCCAGTCAGGTTGGAGTTGGTGCCAACACTAGTAGTGCGACAGCAATTGGAGAGGGGGGCGGTCGCCGCTCTCGGAAACGTTCGGGTCGTCGACGCGGCTCTCGCCATTCCGAAGCTCATCACGCACCTGCGTCTGCACCTGCAACCACTACAAATGTATCAGCTTCTACACTTAACTGGCGAGAGGAGATATTGGAGTCCAAAAAGAATAGTCATGATAAGTGAGTTACTTGATACTAACATGACTTTACTAGCTTTAGTTGAAGTATTAAGTTTAACAATTTAATAAGTATTTGTACCGCCCAGGATATTATTATCCTTGGCATAATTGTATCTGTATTGATATTAGGATCATTTTTAGGCATTCAGAGAGTAACATGCGCAACAAACCTACTCAAGATCATTCTACGTCGCATCCGGGTCTCATCATGCTGCCACAGAGTTCAATATCTCACATGCAAAAAGATTCAGCGTAAGTTGTATATTATTTCATAAATGAAATAGGATGATAACTAAGTATAAACTATTAATGAGATAGAGTAAACTGTATTGTTTTTTAGGCGAGGAGTCACAAATGAAAATCAGAAAACTCTCTATGACCATCAAAATCCATCCAAACCTATAATTGTTCAGACTAGTCTAACGAAAACAGATATCAGGATGGAAAAAGGTAAGCATTGTTAATAATAAGTCCTGTTCATTTTAAACTTTCTGAAAAATATGTAGTGTTAATTGGAGGTATGTTGTCGATAGAAAACGATGGTAGTGTGACTAGCAATCGTTTTTTACTTGTCAGAAAGCCACACTACAGTTACTTGTCAGAGGAAAAAGAATGAAGGTTTGTACGCTAGGTTTAGTTAGTTCTTGGTTAAACAAATTGCTGTTGCTGCGATTTATTCTAGGAATCCGTAGGTGCAGGGCTTCTTTTTCATGGAGTCAAATCATCTTTAGACCAAATAATGGCATGTATGTTATATAACACTGCTTTTATAACCCAATGGGGTGTTAGGACAGCTATTTAAGCAAAACATCTTTTATTTCTTGAGAGACATCATCCAAAAGAAATTACATCTACACCTTTTTTCGTCAATTATGGTACAATAACTTAAAAGTTACTATATTTATGAAAACATTAATTAAAATTTAGACAATTAACAATGTCAGAGCTTACATCAATTTATAAATTTCTGGCTAATCCAACTATATCTCTTGAAAATAAATTCTACTAGCAAATATTTTTGGGTTTAGTACCTAAACTAGAGTTTTGAAATTAAGTTTTTTATGTAGTTACATAAATGTAAGCAGTATAAATATGTTAATTATCAATTATGACCTAACTCTTTTTGTGGGAAGGACTGTAATCTCTAACCTACTAGTAATTTTTCACGGTGATTATATACATCCTAATTCTAATATTATAAATGTGTAATACTATAAAATGTGAGAGCTGAGCGTAAAATGTACCAGACCCAACTATGCAGATTTGAGCAGTCCTTGAGGCAGACGGATAAGCATACTAATATACACAGTATATTATACACATAGTAAATACACAGACATACAGATCAATGCGAATAAATGTTAATATATATTATAATCAAATCCGCGTCTACCGTCGAATGCATTAACGGCCGCACTGCTAATATAAAAGTCAGTTTCTTCGTTAGTTATACTTCCACTCATTAAATATGTAGACAAAAGGTAATTTATTTCAAATAGTTAGTGAGGTAGTTTTTGACACTGCTATAATTTTGGGTTTCGTTGACAGGTGCTAAAGAAGGATCGGGCCGCGGCGGTAGCGCCGGCGTTGGCGGCGGTTACGAGGCGACCGACGCGGCGCGTGCGGCGCGACACCGCGCTCTGCTCCAGGAGGTCGACCGCGCGGACGCCATCTTGCAGGCACACGTGCTTCGTGGCCCGCTTGGACTTGCGCAGCATTGGCCGGACGTCGCCGAGACTAGGTCGAACATTCAGTCATCTTCATTTGGAATTTTATTTCTTGTTTTCGTAAAAATTTAATAACACATGTATCCAGTTACTTACAGATATTTTCTTTACAGGACATTTTTACAAAACGCGCTTCATAAACTTCTAATGTTGGATCTCAAGTACTGTCAGGCGGACAACATTGAGCATCATTTCTGGAAAATATTGTATTATAACTTTATAGAGCTTTTAAGAAAGAGTTTCACTCAAATATCACCGGAAGATAAACCTAAAATAGTAGCATTGATTAATATCATTATAGAGGAGGGTAATTCGTTTTTTGAGAATCTGGTTCAGATGTTGGAGAAAACGTATAAGTTTAATGTAGATGATTATATAAATGATAATCATGTGTTGCCACCTAAAGGCCTGGGCTATGTGGGCTTAGCGTTAATTTCAGTACAAAAGATATATGTATTTCTCGGTGATTTAGCAAGATATAAGGAACAAGTGAATGAGACAAATAATTATGCTAAGAGTAAATTATGGTACACTAAAGCTCAACAGATTAATCCTAAAAATGGCAGACCATACAACCAGTTGGCAATATTAGCAATATATGCAGTGAGTGTCTTACTTAAAAATATTTATTTACATGGTTAAAAATGTTTTATTGCTTATACCTGGTGACTACACTAAACTAATTATTTTCAGAGAAGAAAATTAGACGCGGTTTATTATTATATGAGAAGCTTGATGTCATCGAATCCTTTTCACTCAGCTCGAGAAAGCTTACTATCATTGTTTGACGAAAATAGAAAGAAGGTAAACAACATTTCGGAAACGATACTTTAACAAATAAATGTGTTTAACTAATTTATGAAATATTATAATATTTCGACGTGTTCCAGTACGAAGCGGCTGAGCGTAAACGTAGAGCTGCATTGGAAGCGTCGAAGAGTTCAGAAACTGGGCCAACGAGTGCGGGAGACACTAATGTGGAAAATGCGGCGGGCATGAGAAGAGAGGTGTGGGTGAGGCCCAGCGGCCATCGTACTACCACGCTACGACCTGCGTCCAGAGAAGAACATCTCGCCTCTATGACATCCGTAGAGGTAATCTCATTTTCATTCCAGCACTTGACGGAATAAGAATACAGAGTGTCACTATCCCTATTTAACCCGTGGGTGTCGTTAGAGCCGACTAAGGGATCTAACTACGCAGGACAACAGCATACAATATAATGAAATAAAGAAGAAAATCGGTTGACAAACAAGATGAAATGGTACTGAACTATTTGCCTTTCCATACGATTAGATTACAGACGTTTATTTTCATTACGGAACAAAAGGTCAACAGTTTCACGAATAAATTTATTAATGAAATAAAGGACGTCTACTGCTACGAAATAAAGAAAAGAATGCAGGTTGACGAGTAGATCACAATAACGTAGTGAACTATTCTATATGATCAATGATTTATCTTTTAGTTGGTTGATAAACTCAAAAAAGCAATGGGGACTAACAGTTGTATTTACCTATTTATGTTTATATAGATATATGGAGATACTTATCAATTTCACATTGTTCATTTGTTGTAGTTGAACAAAAACTTCATCACTAGTTATCTTCATGTCCACGGCAAACTCATCACCAAAATTGGGTAAGTGAATATGCCACTTTTAATTCGCATCACTTTTATTTATCTGAACTTAAGCAATTAAATGATTGAATCGCTCATTTCTTACTAGCGGTAACCTTTTGGATCGTAGTTATTCTAGGAAAACTAAGTAAGTAAATATTCAAATAAATTTCAATGTGATATGTGTATATTTAATGAGAAGTATGTGTAACGTAAGATTGACCGGTGAAGTTAGGAATGTTGAGGTACAAGAACAGTGAGGGTAGAAAGAAGACGTAGTGACAAGAATTGAGAAAGAAATGCTTTGGTTTGGGCGTGTCGAAAGGATATATCTTATAATTCTATATAATTTCTATATCTAATCTATTCTATATAAAATCTAATATTTAATTTCTTCCAATTAACCAAGAACAAGATAGTAATACTTTTATTTATTAGAATGGAGACGTTCTACGAGAGCGCAAGTATGATGCTGCGTCAATTCCGAGCGTTATTGCACCGCCAACCGCTTCCGACACCCGCCGCTCGTCTTTTACAACTCACCGCACTCAATATGTTCGCCGTGGAAACTACAGCTGCCTCTACGAAAGGTTATATTTGTATTGTTTCTAGTTTTATTGTTATGACGTACTGCTGTTTTCTTATGAGAAGACGTGACGTTGTGTTAATTAAATATGGCATTTGAATAGTTTAGTTGCGAATCGACTAAAAGCGCACACTCTTTGACTTTCGTTTCTGATATCCATAAAGAACGAATGATTGTGAACTACATAATATTGCTTCCTTTAAACTTAACATAGACTATTAATAAAATCACTTGGTTATTGATTGATTCCGTGTGGTGACGGAATAAGAATACAGAGTGTCACCACCCCTATTCATCCCGTGGGTGTCGTATGGGAGCAAAGTACGCAGAACAACAGCACTGCAGAGAGAAGGAAAACTTGACACAAACCCTATACCAACCCGTCTGGCCAGCGTGGTGTAGTAGGCCAAAACCAGGTTATCGAGCACTGTTATCTGGATATCCAGTAGATTTTATAATATACGATCGCATAAAATATGTACTATGGTGATTTGCGTTGGCCATAAATCATCATCATCAGCCTATCCCAGTCCACTGCTCGACATAGGCATATCCCATTGCACGCCACTTCGATCGATTTTCGGCTTCTCGCATACAGCTCCTGCCAGCCATCTTCAAAGATCGTCACTCCACCTGGCCTGTGGGCGTCCTACACTACGTTTGCCTAAACGTGGTCTCCACTCAAGAACTTGTTTACCCCACGGTTGTCGGTTCTGCGGCTAATATGGCCAGCTCACTGCCACTACAGCTTGCTAATCTGGTGGCCTATTTCGATGACCTATTTGATTATATGATTCTCTGCCGGATCACCTGATTCCTGATGCGATGCCTTAAAGAAACGCTGAGCATAATCATAAATAAGTGTTGGTAATCAAGAGATATTAATTTAGTAATTCGTTAATTCACCAGGGGCAGCAACGCACTTGTGACTTTTGAGTTGCAGGTGTCCATGGGCGGCGGTAGTGGCTTATTATCAGGTGACCCGTCTGCTCGTTTGCCCCCTTATACCATAAAAAAAAGAAAACCATCTGAAAAATGTCTACTTTTTAATGTAGTCCAACTTTATTATGGGGTAGTGACTCGCCATGTGGAGCAAAATAACACAACGGCACAGTTGTACCATAATCTCGTAGTCATTTAAGAACTCGATCCGTCTCCCTAGAATTTCGTTTTTCATAAAACCAGAAGCCGAAAGAAAGAATCAGAGAGCAAGGACATATTATAAGCACATGCCCAAACTACACTCCATTAAACCTGTAGTTCCTTAAATTTATCACTCAGTCACCGATCACGTAAAATCTAAAGTACCTACTCCTAGAAAATGCATAAGCTTGAAATTCTGAAGATAATAATCGTTTAACCTATAAGGTGTTTTACCTTGTAAATATGCTGCAATTTCAGTCCCATAATTGCCAGGATATAAAAACTGCTGAGGACTTTATACTTCTCAATTCGTATTACAAAGTTACTTTTGTAGTTCACGTAAAAAGTATAATATCCTTAGAGATATGTATGTAGGCAAAAGTGGATATGTTATCGTTAGATTAGAAAATACGTTAATATGCGCATTAATTAGGTAATCAGTAATATGTATGATCTATTAAAATGTAAAATTTTATTTAAGTAGCAGAAATCTCCACTTTACCTAGTTGATCTGCATATTTAACGGATGTTACCCCGTTAAATCACGGGCGACAGTTAACGAAAATCTCGGCCGGCCGGTCAGTTAAAAGTATTTTTGACGGCAACATCATATTGTTATAACGTCATCTAACTCAAACGATTCACCAACAATAGAGGGGATCTGCAGCTCCCTAGGCCCGATCGCTCGCCATCGCGCTTAAATGGTCATTGTTCTAATATAACCTAACCCAAAGTTAACCGTATGCTTGATCGTTCGTTTACAGATTACATAGAAACTCTGCAGATTATTTAGTTAATGTAAGAACTGATACCTTTTTTCCCACCTTAACGGACTGAACTGCAATGTGCTTTATCTGCACTCTAACTGATTTACGCACATTAGCGGTAATAGATATACCTTTTTCTGTAGGTACTGTCATTGAATAACGATACAAAAGCAAATGAAATCCCATCAAAAACACTGTGACATGTTAATTTTACCTAATTTGTTAGCTTTACAGTGACGTTACAAGTTATGTTTGTTCCTTTAATAAATAAAATGATTTAGCAATATTGCATTCGCCAAGGATGACTGCGTATGCAAAATATTTGATAATTCTTCCGTGCAAATGTTGCTGTGCTCTGGCCTTTTATACTTTTTACTAAATAAAAAAATAGGGCCAGAATCATTTCCTATAAAATGTTAGTTTAAAAAAAAATAAGGGACCTACCTGACAATTAGAACACAATACACTTACCAGCAGAAGTCCAATGAAATGTAAATAACCTTATATTATGTTATGTTTTTCATGAGATAAAGAATAGGGACTCAAAACAACGTTTATTCGATAAGTAAAGTACCCACCCATTAATCTTACTGTGTTTTGTATTTATTAATTGTACATGTGCAATCATATATCTTAAGGCTTTAAGTTACCGTGGTATCCTTTGTAATGTTTTAACAAAAAAAGTATACCAAATGTAAAAATGAAAAGAAATATGAAAAAAAAACAATGATATCAATCATGAATTTCCTAGAAAGAAACACTAGCTGACTAGAACTGAGTTTGCATTTTTTAAAATAATAATAATATTTATTGCCAAAGCTTTTCACAAGTCGTAATACATTGGTTTAAGTAATTAAATATTACAAAGCATGAATCCAAGAATATCCAATAATATATATAAATACTCGGTATAAACGAAATTGTTATCAAATAAAAAGAATACCGTCGAGTTTAGTCATTAATAAAGACATATCACTGCGGTCGTTGACTGTGATGCCTTTGGAGCGAAAAAGTAAATGACTGCTTCAGGACAGCGGCACTTCAAATCCAATAAATGTTTACGTTATAATATACAGAGTTACTGGTGTAGTCGGCCTAGATACTTTAGGGCATAGTAGTCGCGATCATTGCTGATAGATTTCTCTATGAAATACTATATCCCAAACCTAACCATTTTCAAGATATTGGACATTTAGATTTATCAGTTGGTGTGTGATAACTGGTTATACAGTTTTTATCAAATTTGGACTAATCTGTCCATGAAATATGACTAAGGAATAAAATGACAGGTCCTCTCATATCTGAATTAAGCATAAATCTGCAGAAATCAAACCTCTTCAAATATCTCCTTGGCGTATATCGCAGTCCCCGACGAACACTATGGTAATCGCTATTACGATAGAATCGGGTTTATTAAATATTCGTTATCTACACACCCTATTACAATCATTGAATTTTTTTTATGATCGGGCGATGAATACTTTTGGATTTATGGCTTCAATAATGATCTTTATGTTTTTGTTCAACGTATAACATAAGTGAAAAATTTACAAAATTTACGCAAAAACCTATTACCAAATCTCAAAGTCAACATTTTAGAGTAAGCGGCTATTACCATATTGTTCGAGGGAAAAATGAAAGAATCTTATTAGTGGCAAGAGTTGGTTAAACGACACCCAAGGCCGAAAAATTCAGTGGATTGATGGAGAAATTGATGGAGGTGAGAGTTTCTCATTTGAAACCAACAATTTTACAGTATAAGTATGACTTCGACAATGATTCTTTCGAGTTCGATACAAAACTTCAACTAAACAAACCCAAACGAGGACAGAAACCCGTCCCTGGCCAGGTTGATGTACAAACACTCAAAAATGTTTACAGCCACCCTTTACCTATCACCAAGGCTCTGTTTGCTGACCTGAAGTCTTTGTGTGAAAGTGAGGCCATCCCTAAACGTTATCACAGTTTTTATAGTAATTTAAATTATGCAGATCTCAATATTATACCTGAACAACAACAAGAAGATATAGATAAAAATTAAATTCAGTAATTTTTGTTTTAATTTTTGTTTCATATTATAATAATAAAAATTAATAATTTTAGCGTGTGCCCGCGACTTCGTCCGCATGGAATAGTGACTTTGGGTACCATTTGAGTGAATCCCAAGCAATGACGATACTTTCATACAACATTTCAACCCCTATTTCGACCCCTTACAACCCTTTTTTGCATTTAAAAGTAGTATATGTCCTTCCTCAGGCTCTAGGGTATCTGTGTACTAATTTAATGTAAATCGGTTCAGTACTTTTAGCGTAAAAGCTACACAGACAGACAGAGTTACTTTCGCATTTATAATATTAGTAAGGATTGTATGTCTTGCCCAATTGAAAACTCGCTAGATTATAAGCTGACAATATTTAGGTTCAATTTACAGTGCTACAAATAACCCTGTAAAATTAATACAATATGCATCAAAACATAAATAGATAAATATTGTCAAATTTAAAGTAATACACATAAAAACTTTATTTATACATAGGTACCGAAATATTTTTGCTGCTTACCTTTCATAACACCTAAAAATGATCATCAAATAAGCATGTAATTTATGTTTACCGTAATATTAAAGTCAGTTATATCATCGAATACGATTGCAATGTCATTTTACGAATAGAAAGTTTATTTATATTTACCATGGAACAATATCATAATGAACGATTACTACAGTAACACCGATTTGTGATTACAGTCGAACACTATCTTAAAGTTAGTTTGCGTTAATTTTTTCTATAGCTTATTTGAGTAATGGACATTTTCACAATTTTCTTACTGATAAAGAAAATTTATGATAAAAATTTAGTAAAAATCTAGTGCAAAAAAATATTCCCTATTTTTGATAAAAAAATCTTCTTTTTAGTCTTGATAGAATTCAAGATATTCAGTTTTTATTTGCTCCTGTAAAATTGTAATTTTCCTATTACGATTTTGTTCGTCGGCGACTGCGATATGTATCCAAGAAGATCATATGATGAGGTCTTACGGATACTGCTAATGGCAGTATCCGTAAAATCAAAATATCAACATGTTCCTCGTT